GTATTTTTAGTAGAGATGGGGTTTCACCGTGTTAGCCAGGATGGTCTCGATCTCCTGACCTCGTGATCCGCCCACCTCGGCCTCCCAAAGTGCGGGGATTACAGGCATGAGCCACCGCACCCGGCCTTCCCTTCACTTCTGGCTACTCTCGCTGGGGAGGGAGACGCTGGGGCAAGTTCTCCTTCCTCTGTGGCTGTGGAGAGGAGAATGCCGGGTGACAGGGCTGTGGGCAGGGCTGGACTCACGTGGCCGTCACTTCTCCTTGCCAGACCTACGAGGACCAGCATAGCAGTGAGGAGGAGGAGGAGGAGGAGGAGGAAGAGGAGAGCGAGGACGGCGAGGAAGAAGATGACATCACCAGCGCAGAGTCGGAGAGCAGCGAGGAGGAGGAGGGGGAGCAGGGCGACCCCCAGAACGCGACCCGGCAGCAGCAGCTGGAGTGGGATGACTCCACCCTCAGCTACTGACCCGCGCCCCCGGCCATCTTGGTTTCTGCTTCCAAAGACTCTGCTGCCATCTGTTCTCCCAGTCCCAAGGGTCCACGATGTACAAAGTCATTTCAGCCAGTAGGTGTGCAGACCCCTCCCCGCCACGATTGTCGCCGTGCTTGGTGTGTAGGACCCTAGGCTCCCGCCTGCCCTCTGCCTGGTCGCTCTCTTCAGTCCCACGAGGAGCCGACACGTCCTCTCTGGCCGCCATCCGGCTCGCACAGGGGCCTCGCAGCGCCTCAGGCCCTGCATTTGTGTCTGGAGTCTCCCCCGCCCCGGGGAGAGGACGCTGGCCCCTCGCACTCCAGAAAAGCCATGCCAGCTGGACTCGTTGACAAAGGGTAAAACATGCTCACTCCCACCCGGTAATCATTTTTTTCTTTTTTAAAAAAAGTTTTTATTTTTTCCAAACTAGTGCATGTATAAATAATGGCAGGATGGGGGGTACTGTGTAGATGATTAACTGACTTTTTAATATTTTGTAAATAAATCGGATTCCTTGTGTCCTTTGTGCTAGTGTAACCCGGGACTGGAATGTAAAGTGAAGTTCAGAGCTCTGAGCACGGGCTCTTCCCACCGGGCCCTCCCTCCCCCGACGCCGAAGGGAGAGGCCCAGCCCCGTCCCAGCCCCGTCCCAGCCCCTGCTCAGGTCTGAGTGTGGCCGGGAGTCAGGGTCACAGGCCTTTAGCTGTGCTGCTCAAGAGACCGAACCAGGGCCGCCCTTTGGCAGCTACAAGTAGCCGGGCCTCACCTTTGGGATTTGACCTGTTCCTAATTTGGCGTGGGGTGCAGGGGTGCGGGGTCACTGGCCCTTTTCCACACTCCTCCGACAGCAGCTCCCTGTGCAGTGGCCTGGTCTCACCGTGTGCAGCCTTGTGGTTTATGCTTAGATGTGCATTTCCCTGCTGGTAAAAGGAGAAACTGACAGGTGTCCTGCAGACCGGCTGACCACTCCCTTCGGAGAAGGCAGGAGGCCTGAGTGATCTGTACTCGGAACGTCCAGCAGAGACCCATGGCCTGAAGGCAAAGTGCTGGAATTTTCCACAACAGCCTGTTCTCTCCTCTCCTCCTCCCCAGAGCCCCCGCCCCCGTGGGATGCCTCCTGCCATCAGGGGGGTTGAAATCCCTCTCCCCCCAGGAGCCCTGCTGCTGTGTTCAGTGGTAGGGCAAAAGGAGAGAAAACAGTCATGGTCTAAAAACCCACATAGCACTTTGCTCTTAGTTACATGTAAACTTTTAGATTTCTGAAACGGGTGGGCAATCATTCTGAATACTGTTCTGTGACCCTGACTGCTGGTTCTGAGGACACTGGTGGCTGTGCTGTGCTGTGTGTGGCCATCCTCCATGTCCTGTCCCTGTAGCTGCTCCGTTTAGACAGCGGACAGACGCTCACGCCCAGGGGATGTCCTCATGCTGTCACTGCGCGGTTTCCTTCGCAGATGTGTATATTGATGATTGACAGGTCAGAAAGTGTATCTGCTACAATAAAGTTCTGGTTCTAACTCCAGCCGGAGTGGGGTTTGTCTTCTCTCCTGTTTTGGTTTTAAACCTGCACTCCCTTGTTTCTTTTTGAGCCGAGAACATAAGAACATAAAAAGACTTTTTCTTTTCATCTGCCTTTACTTCTCATTTCAAGGTTTCACAGAGTGCTGGTCTCAACCCACATCAGTGATACTGAACTCGCCTTCCCCAGACAGAAACATGAAATGACTTAAAAAAATAGAAAATATTCTTCTCGCCAGGCACACAAGACTGTACACCCAAACCAGAAACGCTGTGGCTGTGCAAAGTGTGCTCCCACGCCCGCGCACACAGGCGCACTTGAATAAATAACACGCGCACGCACGGCTTTCCCCATTTCAAAAAGGCAGACGGTCTGGTGAGTTTCAGCACTTGCTAGGAACAGGTGTGTGGCCAGGGAGGTGCCCCGCGGGTAGCACTGGCTGCTGACGGACCCCTGGTGGATCAGAACAGAGCTGGCACCTGAGCCGCTGAGCAGGCGGCTACTTCTGGCTCTGTTGAGTTTTGGAAGACCTTTGAGAGATCAACAGCATCACCGGGTAGGTCCTGAGTCCACTGCTGATACGTTAGGGTCACCTGGGGGCTGCTAAAAGCCCATAGTCCTAGCCCCATCTGCAGAGTTGGCTTCTGAAGGCTGGGAGAAGCCCTGGAAGCTGCATTTCTAAAGCTGTTCAAATCCAGGCCTTTGGAGGCTTAAGACTAAGCCTGCACCATTTCAAACTAAGTACAGTCAAAGAGAAAGATCCCAGCATGCGTCCTCGCTCTCAAACTTCTGCTACCTGAGCACTCTCACAGCAGGTTCCCAAAAGAGATCTGGCCTCATCCTTTTGTTAAAACCTGCTTTGAGAGGTGGCTTAGATAATGGCAGAGTGGGCTGGGCATGGCGTCATGCCTGTAATGCCAGCACTTTGGGAGGCTGAGGTGGGTGGATCACCTGGAGGTCAGGAGTTCGAGACCAGCCTGGCCAACATGGTGAAACCCTCTCTACTAAAATACAAAAATTAGCTGGCTATGGTGGTGGACGCCTGTAACCCCAGCTACTCAGGAGGCTGAGTACCCGGGAGGCTCAGAACCCGGGAGGTGGAGGTTACAGTGAGCCACAATTGCACCACTGCGCTCCAGCCTGGGCAACTGAGACCCCATCTCAAAAAGAAAAAAAAAATTGAGATAATGGCAGAGTATTCGCCTCTGACCCACCTTCGCCTTCGTGTGTGACCAGGGTGAGCTACACGAGGCCCAGATCTCTTTAACACGCCCTGAGGACCAGCGCAGATTCTCCTTTATGGGGCTGGGCCTGATCTCCCCAGTCGTAGAGGTGTGGTGAGTCATCTATTGTTTTCTTACCTGCAAACAAAATCACTTTACAGCAGAGAGAGGTGAGGGAATTCTCGTACCCAAGACCCACTTGAAAAGTGGAGAGCAAACATCCCTGAATCTAGAGGGTACCCCAGGCACCTTGGGGAGCTGCCAGAACTCAGTCTAGGGAGGACACACAGGGCGGGTTGCACAAGGATCAGGGCGTCCTGTCGGACAGTAGGCACCAGGTGACCGCCAGGCGCCAGGACCCAGGCAGTCTGGCGGGAGGCCTGGGAAGGTGGTGACCCCAGGAGGAGAACAGTCTTCGCTGGGCCCAGATCCACCAGCTGGAAGACTTGGGGTGACAGTCCTCAGCCGAGAGCCAGGTGCAGCCTCGAGGGGCCCAGCACCGCCGCCGCACAAAGGAGGCATTTCCGTTTATGGCTGTTTAGCTCCTTAGACATTGCAAGTCATAAATAAATAACCAGTGTAAACAAAAGGCAGCTGTGTAAGTTCTTTTTGCAGTTCAGGCTCTTCAGCCCCTTTAGGACAACCAACGTGCCTGGTCCCCACGGCCCGCGGCTGCCTCCTCTCGGGCCCAGGGCTGGGAGATGCCGCTACTGCCTGTTGTCCTTGGACACGTTGTGGGCCAGCCAGTTCACTTTGGTTTTCCAGCTCTCACGGAGGGCTTCATTAAACTTCACTCGGAAGTGCTTCAGCGCCTCGTCCTCTGTTTTCCCCAGTGCCAGGGAGTCCTGCGAACAAATCACAGCGGTGTCCGCGTTAAGGGGACCCGGACCTTGCTCTGGGATGCGGCCCTCTCTGGGGACTTCAGAGTCACTGCATGAAGCGGTTAGCAGAGAGCCCCCGGCATCCCAGGAAAAGCTCTCTATTCCGATCCCGCCCTCAAATGAAGGTACCAAAGACGTCTTGGCCCCAGAGCCCCTAGTTCCCAGGTTGACACCGTGCCCGGCCCACTCTGCCATTATCTAAGCCACCTCTGAAAGCAGGTTTTAATATATATATATCTTTTTTTTTTTTTTGGAGACAGTCTTACTCTGTCGCCCAGGCTGGAGTGCAGTGGCATGATCTCGGCTCACTGCAACTTCTACCTCCCAGGTTCAAGTGATTCTTCTGCCTCAGCCTCCTGAGTAGCTGGGATTAGAGGTGCCTGCTACCACACCTGGCTAACTTTTCTATTTTTAGTAGAGACAGGGTTTCACCATGTTGGTCAGGCTGATCTCGAACTCCTGACCTCATGATCCACCTGCCTTGGCCTCCCAAAGTGCTGGGGTTACAGGTGTGCACCACCATGCCCGGCTAATTTTGTATTTTTAGTAGAGATGGGGTTTCTCCATGTTGGTCAGGCTGGTCTCGAACTCCCGACCTCAGGTGATCCACCCACCTCGGCCTCCCAAAGTGCTGGGATTACAGGCGTGAGCCACTGCGCCCGGCCAAAAAATATCTTTTAGAAGGCAGAGGGAGCCAGATCTCACGTGGCCCAGTGGACACCTGAAAGCCCCGCAGCCCCTGAGCACAGTGGCCCAACCCGGAGAGGTCACTACACATCTGCCACGAGGTGGAACCATGCCCAGGTGGCTCAACTCTGCTCCAGCCACTTTCCCCTCCACCGCCCACCAACCCTACTGCTGGGTCCTGGGACGGCGTAAGGCACACAGAGCTCAGTGCCCTTTGGGGCCTACTGCACTCAGGGCCCTCCTAGGTCGAATTGCTCGGGGGCAGGCCTTGGAAGGCCATTGGCGACAGAAGACTCCTGCCTGCCACATACCTTGAGGTACTGGATGTCTTTGGAGCAGCTGAGCTCAGGCAGGCCTGCCGCCCGCATCAGGGCAAAGAGGTGGAGGAAGAGAAGCCCGTGGCGCCGCAGGATGGTGTAGGCCCTTTCACAGTAGCCCCGGAACCTGCAGGTGGGGGGCACAGGAGGTGAGGCTCTGGGTCCTCCCAGCCACAGGCCAGAGGGCCGCTCCGCATTCAACCAGCCCCTTCCCTGAAGGCACCTGCCCTTGCCCTGGAAATGGGTGGACACAAGGCCCCCAGTTCTTCTAGCTGACCCCTGTGCCCCAGCCAGCCTCCTGCTATACGACCCACAAACCTGCCCACATTGCCCAAAAGGGGCACTGCAGGGCAGAGCAGGGGCATGTTTCAAACCCATCACCAGCTGGGGTGAGGGGCCAAGTTTGGGGCTGAGAGCTGAGCCCCATCCTGCCCCCTGCCTGGGAACCTCTGCCCTATTCCCTGGGGCCCCACACTGAGGGGCATCTGGTGGGGCTCAGGCACTCTTACCTTTCAAATTTCTCACTGTTATTAGTCTTCCCCTGCTGAATCACATGGACAAAGTCATAGGTGAGGATGAATGGGACACGCTCACGGTTGATTCCAAACTTGGTCTTGAAATTCCCCAGAAAGTGGCCAAAATCAATGTGGAACAGCTGAGGGGACAGGAGAGGAGGGGGAGGATTGAGAAGGTGTCAGAGAGGAGAGAATCCAGGGGAGACAGGAAGCCAGCAGGGCTGGGGGACCCCTGCCACAGAGCTGTGTGCCGGGCAGAAGGGCCAGCAGGCTGGGGCCAGAAGCCAGGTCCCCGCAGCAGCTGCCAGCACCACCCCCTGTACCTGCCCACTCTCTCGGATCATGATGTTGTCGCTGTGCCGATCGCCGATGCCCAGCACGTATGTGGCCACACAGTAGCCAGCACAGGAGAGGGTGAACTCCTCAATGGCTCGATCCAGGGCCTCCCTGGGTGGGGAAGATTGAAAACCATGGCCACACCATTTTGCAGCTCCTCCTACCAAGAGGTGGGTTATTACTCCCTCTCCCCTTGAATCTGGCCCTGTGACTTGCTTTGACCAACAGAACATGGAGAACACAATGCCAGACGTCGCTTGCAGACGCTACTCCAGAGCCAAGGCCTGAAGACATCTGCAGATCTTGAACCCCACACCCTCAATACAGAGCCATGGAGGGAAGGTGAGGCTGCTAAATGAGGACGCCACATGCAGAGAGGCATCACAGACACCTGGCGCCAAGGCCCCAGGAATGAGATGCGTTATCTCAGACCCTGCTGGCCCAGTTAAGGCACCAGATGAGAACAGCTGCAGAGTGATTATGCAGAACCAGCAGAAGGGCCACCCAGCTGAGCCCAGCCCTAGACTGCAAATTTGTGAGCCAATCTTAAATGGCTGTTTTTTAAGGCCCTGCACTTTGGATGGTGTTGCATAGCAAGAGACACTGATACTTGGGGAACAGAGACCCGCCTCACCCCAACCCAGACACAGGCTGGTCCTCAACTGAGCCAAATAGCCACAGAGATGGTCTGAGGCCCTTCCCCGCTCCTTTGCTCTGACAGGCTAGGCCTCCCACTCCACACCTCTTGGAAAGAAGGTGTGGAGTCTCCTCCCTGGGCCTGAAACCCACCCTGGGTTCTTGGACTTCAGCCAGTTGAGCAGGGCATCCTTGTTGAAGGCGGCTGTGGCTGCCATGTTGCTCTTGTTGAGTTGGATGTTGGCAATGGTGTCTGAGCGGAGTACCACCTCAATGAGGCCTGTGCGGTCCCCGGTGGGGAGGCAGCCGTAGGGGGTCATCCTAGGCAAGTGGGAAGAGGGACGGGCAAATGGCATGGTCAAGGGCTGTCCCTGAGGCCACTTGAGCCCCAGAAACTCATGGTGC